TGAAAATTATTTGGGAAAATCTTTCATTTTAGAAGATTTCAATTCGTTATTGCAATTGACCCCCTTGAATTTCAAAAAGGTTTAGCTTGATATATTTTTGTTCTCTGAAACTCGAAATTGCTCAAATGAGCCAGTCATTTTTACCTAGTTTTCCTGTTCATTGGCATTTTTGTAATTGTCATTGGCATTTTTGGAAATTCTTCAAATTCGATTGAGCTTATTTAATTTTTCGCAGTTTGAACTTTGCTAAATGAAAGGAATACTATATACTCTAATAACAAAAAAGAAAGTTGCGCGAGGAAACGTGAATGATTGTTAGTTTCGAAAGTGGCTGTTGAAATACGTATTTCTCTGGGGAAAAAATCCTTTTGATCCAAGTTTCTCAAATTTGGTTAAGTTAAAAACAATGTGCCAATCATTAAAGGTTTTTGAAATTCAAATTGCTTTGAGGTGATATAGTTTTACCCGTAGCTCGAAAGTTGAAAAGGTTTCAAATAAAAGTCAATAGTTTTTCGGTTTCCTTGAGTTAATCGACTTTTTTCCACCTGTCTGTTGGCCACATTTTGAACGGTCTGTTGTCTAGATATGAATGTTTTGGTTGCAAATTGAATAGTCGCATTAATAGTGGACTTTTAATGGAGTTTTGCCGAAAGTTGTAGTTTTGGAATTATCTAACAAAGCACAACAAGTCTTATGCACTCTTTTAATCAAGTGTTTCCTAGCTAGTCTTTGCTTGCTTCAGAAATGGTTTCTTGTTTTGATCTTTTTTTTGTTTGATCAATGCTCAACCAAAGTTGAGGGGTAGGATGACTGAGACTCGAAATTTATCTGAAAAACACATTAGTTATCGAAAAAGAGCAATCAGATATCCTAGGCAATTAATTTACCCAAGTATGATACCCCACTCTATCTCCTATCAGGGAAGATTAGAACAAGAAGAAAGCAAGACAACTGTGCTATGTCAAGTCTGGTCGTAAACCTTGCCGAGGTGCTTAATTTCGTCCCTTTAATTGAATGTACTTCAATTTTATTCTACATTTTTTTAAACTGTATATTAGAAATGAGGCGATGAAAATCAACAATATAATTGCAAATTTAACTTAGCAATTGTAACGGAGTTCATGGATTTCAGAGGTAAGTTCCCTTTCCGGTTCTGTTTGATATCTTTTTGTGATTTTTCAATTGCGTTAGCAAGTCATGACTTTTTCGGTTATAATAAATAGAAATTAAATGACAAATGCTCCGAAAACGTTCAAATTGCACTCAAGGAACAACTTTTATAGTTTTTAATTTTCTTTACATTCTCCAATTGTCATGAAAATTGGTTTGTGCGTGGCTAATCCTATTGCAAACCCATTTGGTTCTCATGTACAACTTTGTAAAGACAATGAGTACACAGTAAAATTGATTTGTATGTCAGGCACGGGGGGAGGGGAGGCAGATGAGCCACAATTTAATCCAGCACAGAGGTTAACTCTTTCTATCAAAATCTATCTTATCTAGACTTAATAGGTTAAGTTATAGTATCTTCAACCGTTTCAGTGATTTTACGAGGTTTCACCAGTGTAACCTACGAAGTTTTATATTGTAATTGCATATTGCAGATACATGCCAAATTTAATGACAAATAGACTACGTGGGCAAAAGATAGAACACAGAAAGTGGTATGTCGTGGGAAACAGCAGCAGAGCCAAACTGTCTATTAAGTGTTCCGAAAAAAAATGAAAAACAGTTCTGGAATAAGAAAAATATTTCGAATTCCAAAAATTGGAAGTTTTTTTTGCATTTTGATAAAGAAAAATGAGGAAAATATTTGTTTAAGAATAGAGTTTACAACTGAAGAAATAGATTTTTTCTTTCTTTCTCTTTCTGGAGTTATGATGAAATTTCTATACTTTAGTTTCTCGATTGTTATAATGTTTTGATGGTTAGTTTTATAAATTAAACTTTCTATTGTGCCTTATTACCAAAAAAATCATTGAATTAGTCATAATCAATAAAAAAAAATTCTCTTAGTTAATGCAGCAGAGTTCGTAAATTTGTTTGGGTTTTTCAAAGTTTTGATGATTTTTTGTTTTTCAGATCTCAGAGCTAAGTTTTCAGAGCTCAATTTATTTACTTAGCTGAAAGGAAGGATTGCTCCACTATCGAACTGCGAAGTTACAAAGTCACGAAAAATGTGAATGACTTCGTTTTTCACAAGTTTTTTTGTTCTGAATTTAGTGTACCCGTATTGCCAGTCACTTGCAAACTTTTCTCGTGTTGTTAAAACCTTTTTTGTAACAACCGTAGTAACTCATCATCTAGAAGTAACTCAACCTCTCTAGTGCTATACCAGCGTCCCTATTTCCCTCTCACCATCCAAATTTCAGACAGTTAGTATTTGAAAAAGTTTTTTTGTTCACAAGGTTAATTCGAAGTTGCAAGTTTTGTGGGTTTTCTTGCTTTTGTTTTTATTTCCGTCAGCTTAGTTGGCGTTGTTTTGCCAATATTTCGGGTATTTAATGCCACCTCCGTAATTGAGTGTTTGAAGGGTATAGGTTTATTTGTACTCCCTAAATATTAGGCAGTTTGAAACTCCGATAACCTATAATTTTGAAACTGAATCATGTTTTTTGTCTTGGTGGTTTCAACTGAACTAATATATACCTATAACCCATCGGTTTCCTTTTTGTGTAAAGCCAAGAAAGGACTGAAGTTCTGTCAATTTGGTAATATCGAAGTAAGTTGAAAGTGATTCTCTGAAAAAAAAAAAAATATTTTTTATTCCCAGTTTCACAACGCTGCTCGAAAGACGTGCAAGAATTCAGTTCTAAGTTTGAGGGACTGCTAAACAGACATTTATTGTCACCCTTTTGAAATTGAAAGTCTGCGAAGTCGCTGATCAACTTTGTCAAATTTTGGTGCGCTGAAATACTCTGTTTATCGAAAGTTTAATTTTTAGTACGTGAAACTGTGCTACAGTGCTGATTGAAGCTCCACAAATGCGCAATATGTTTTTAAAATCGTTTTTGAATAAAACATTCCTATTTAATTGAGTAAAAACGACATTTTTTGGCTATCAAACAAATATAGAAATAAGTATACAAACTTATTACGCTTGGGGGTGATATTTAACAATACGTGGTAATTTTAAGTAAAGTGCATGTATTAAAATTCAGAAATATTATGCATAATATTGTCAATTCATTTTCAACCAATTGTTTTAGTACTAAGATAGTTTTTGTAAATACAATACTTTGCCAAATCAGTTTTGAAAATTTTTGATTTTTTTTCGTACTCTCAAAAACTACCTTCCAAATATGAGATTTTGGGTTCAATGGCTATAATTTTTTGTGAAAAGTTCTTATGCATATGCGGCTACGCCCATTTTTTCATACAAAAAGTTATTGCCCTCGGAAAATTCAAGATTTGCCTTTTTTGAACGTTTTGTGAATTTGTTGGGTTTTCTCGAAAACTACATTCCCAAATCTTACAATTTGGGTTCAATTGAATTAATGGGTTCTGTAAAACTCCCTTGAATAATTTATTGCGCGTTTTTTTAAACACAAAAGTTATGGCCTTCGAAAAAGTTATAACAAACCAACAGGTTGCGTGAATCTCTTCTGCATAAGCGGATTGTCTCAAAAAAATTTTAGACACACAAGATATGGCACTGGAAAAAGTTAATACTTGAAAACTACCCAGCTAATTCTTAGGTTAAAAGTTCAATCGAGAAACCCGATTTTGGAAATAATCCTTGCTTAAGCGACCACGTCCTTCTTTTGCAGAAAAATGTTGTGGGTTTCGAAAAGTCAAATTTCGAACGTTTGACCGTTTTTAGAATCTTTTTGACTTTTCTTAGAAACTACTAGATGAAATCTGAGACGAAGGGTTCCATGAAAGAACCGCCTGCGATACTTTTTCTACTGAAGCGGTGGCTTCTCAATTTTGTGAGAAAAGTTAGATATCTCAGGGAAGATTCCTATTGCTCAAAAATCTGAAGTCTTGTCAATTATTTAGGTAGAGAAACAACTAAGGTTTCGACAAAGTCCAATTTTTGAAAATGCCTTTTTCATCCCGCATCAGTAGAAAAAATTCCAAAGTTATCAGATAATTTCTTCTAGCTTTAGCTGGGCCCCTAGACATCTTTCATTAGGACATACGAACATTTTAGTTCACCTATAACATTTTCTTTCAACATTTAAAAAAAAATTTTCGACATTTTATTTTTATGTTCGTGTTGTATCGCTGCTGGTGCGAAGCTCTGCAGCGCCTCTGTGTACAAAATTACAGAGAAGAATATACCCTTGTTAAATTTTGATGGGCTACATCAATTTTGTTTTTTATCAGCAGTTGAACCAGTAATTTTTGCGTAAAATCGAAAAAAGCCAAAAATTATCCAATTTTGCGGCTAAAATTTGCGCCTGATTGTTGCAAAATAAATAGCAGCATTTTAATTCTGCTAAAATTTTAAGGAATTTTTTCTCAGACACTTTTTGTCTGAAGTCTACCCGATTTGAGAAAAATGCGTTTTATTTGTTTTTTTTTCTATGAGAAAATTTGTTGTCAATTATACCAAATTTACGATTACTATCGAAGTTCTAGACTTTCGTTCCGATCTTCTCATCACACCGCGATGAAAAAACGATGCAATTCGTTGGAAAAAAAACTTTTTTTTATTAATGATGAACTTTCTGTGCTGCTTGCATTGCAACCGGTTTCCCTTGTTGAGTTTTTGCTTTTACTCACGGTTGCGTTTTTTGCGTGCTTTTCTTCATTGTGTTTAAGTTTTTCATCCTGTAATTGTACTGAAATTTGTTATGGGTTTCTGCTACAGCTTCCTAGCAATTTGGAAATTTCGTAGTCTTTTGTTCATGAAATTAGTCCTTGAACTTACAGTTGGTGATTTTTCGTTTTGCGAGGGTTTATACCGCGGTTTTCTAGGTGTTGGCACACAAATTTTCAAGTGCAGGAATATTCATAGCTCTAGCTTCTTATTTAGTTAATCATTTTAGAGAAGTTATGTGTGCCCGTATAGACAAGTAATTAGTTTTTTGGGGGTGTAGTGGGATGGGGGAGATTGATGAGTTGACGAAAGAATTGGAGGTCGTGAAGGCAGAGGAGGAAACTCTACTCTCGCTCAAACAAATCATCAGTCATCAGCTAAGTCAACTAGAGGTCAGCTACTTACTTCAGATTCATTTGAACGATAGACGCGGAATTTTTTTTATGTATTACCTGATGAATTTCATATCTTATGGGTGATTGATTCGAAAATTAGTGTGTATAAATTCTTTTGAGCAATTCACTGCTGTGAAGTACTGGCGTCTATGAATAAGTAGAGCAAGTTCATTGAAAGTTGCTGATGTTAGAACAGACGATTTTATGCCCTTTTGTTTGTAGTTTTACCAATCATTCCCCTCCGTCCTCTCATTTTACTTTTGGTTTCAATTGAAAGGCATTGCTAACGGGATTTCTTTCCAGCTGGAAGAAGTGGCACTGCGGGAGATCATCAGTCTAGAGCAGCATACGAGACAATTGGTTGGACCAGAGTTAGAGTACAGCGATCAGGAGCTGCAGGTAACGGGGGCGCAGCACTCACACCTCCCTCAAATGAATAACCGCAGCGTCGAAGAAGACAATAAATTCAATGACTTGCACCATGTCTCTTTCAATCAGACCAATACTAGGTGATTTTATTTTACCTAGGCTTAACGATTTTGCGCATCTACTAAAATTAAGTAGTCGCCTAATTTTCCAATAGTGCAGAAGGCTCCGCCAACACGCACATGTGGACTATGTTATGAAAAAAAGTCAGTGATAAAAATCCAAAACGGAAAGTTGCAGACATACGTTGAAAGTCTATTTAAATGTCTTTGAACTTCCATATCTGAGACCTAGAGTTTTTCAAATCCCTGAGAACTCGAGTCTTTTTTCTGTTAGTTTCTTCAATTTGTCTACAAAATACTGCTTTTTTCCGTACTCTTCCGACTGCCTGATATCCAGGCTTGTGTTATATAACGAGTCCCCTTTCCCAATGTAGTTCGCACATTTTGTTTTCAATTTAAACGTACTGTGTAGTTGTAGAATATTTTTTGGCGATTTCATATAGCATGGGTTATAGCCGCGTTCATTCATGCCGTATGTTGCAAAGTTTTTGTCGAAGCAAGAATATAAACAGTTATCTGGCAATTTTAAATATGCAAAAATAATTATGAAGGTGCTAGTCTTGAAATTAGGTTTCCTAATACATATACGTTTCTAATTGGCTGTGCCGCAATTGTTTACGCTTGCGATTAGCTAAGCGTTATCAAATCGGAATATACTTTGTTTCTGGTTAACAACTACTTTAACAAAATCATTGGATCATTTGTGCAGCATTCAATACTGTTACAGCAAACATGCTCAATTTCTTGAAAATTCAAATTTAACTACTTTGCATGAAAGCTTGTAAACAGCCATGGAACTCTGCTCGAATCCGGTCAGCACCTGTTTTTTAAAACCTAAAATTTTGACTATCAAAAAATTATCGGCCTATGGGCTGTCTGCAAATTTTCTTACACATTTGTAATTGAAATGGATGTTGCTTAATTATCAAAACTTAGCAACTTCCAGACCCCCTTCAGTTCAAGTCCCGGCTGGATCTTGGTTTTTTTCAGTGTCTGAATATGAATTTCTTTCCGGGAAAAATTGATTAGTCGGATTATAGTTAGTCGGCTTACTTTTTGTCGGCTTATTTGCCACCTTTTAATTTTCTATGACAATTTCCTTCGATTTTTTTGCTTCCGGTTTTGTTGGCGTCTAACCACGTGTTGTGGGCTTAGTGAACGCTTGAAATTACAAAAAGCTGGCTTGTTGCCAGTGGCTGCGTTTCTCGTCTGTTTTTCAAGATTGAAGTTTGCGTATTTCAAAAAAAAATGTTGAATTTTGCAATATTGATTTTCGTTTGGTTTTTTGTTTTCGGATCAATTGACGTCTAACCGCGTGTTGTTGGCTTAGTGGTCGCTCGGAAATTACCAAAAGCTTGCTTATTGCTAGTGGTTGTGCTTCTCGTCTGCTTTTCTGTGACTGAATTTTTCGTATTTCCAGGTTTTTCAATTTTTTCCAACTGAGTTATTTCCATCTCACTGACCATTTACTTGCTTGCAATGGTTCGCTTTTGTTGTATTGCAAGTGATGCTAAGCTGCGCGTCGCCTCTGTGTATTTTCTGTTTTTCTTGGATTGATGAAAATCAGGTTTCGTTTCTCTATTTTTAGTTGCAAATATCAAGGTTCGCTAAGCTCATTTTATGTCAAGAAAAACTGATCTGAATATTTGCCCCTTTGAGGCCAATTTGCTGCTGGACAATGGCTGAGGAAGGAAGCAAGGAAGTAGACCAAATCTGACGTCAAGCTCAGTTATGCAAATTTTTGACTTCATTTTTTGTAGCCTAATTAAAACTCGTCTCTCCTCTCTTCTCTTTCTCTCTCTCTCTCTTTCTCTCTCTCTCTCTCTCTCTCTCTCTCTCTTTCTTTCTTTCTTTCTTATCACCCGAACACGGCCGAATTTAACATACGGTTTTTGATGAAAATTGTCAGAATTAGCTTTTTTTTTGCTCAGCAACCGTTAGCAATTAATTTGCATGGAGTATTGATTTTGTATTGGAATCTGGTGGCTTTTGGCTTCCGTATTTATTCAGTTTTTTTTCAAGTATATACGAAGTTTGCTGAAATGCTTAGGTTTATTTGCTAGATCTAGAGCTTGGAATTTTATCTTCGAGGAATATACATACTATTTCAGTTAACTGTTTTCGGTTTGATAGCGATATTTACTCTTGCGATAAGCAAGGGTATTGCAATCGGTTCTAGACTTTTTTCCTTTTGCTTTGTTCAAAGGACTTTTCATTTGTACTCATTTCTCGGAAGGCTCTCTCAGAAACAAATTTACCGCTGCCAAAATGGTAACTTGTTCTGGTAGGTGCGTGTTTTGGCTTGATAGATTTTGACCTAAATTATATCGGTTTAGTGGCCTCATTTTGCGTTATATCGTTCGACGAGCGAAAAGATTTTTTGCGTGTTTGTTTTTAGGGTACGTGACTTAAAATATTTTAATTAGTCTTAAATTATAATGAATTTTTTCTTCGGCTTTTTTATTTCTTTTTTTTCGGCTTGATAGTTTCGGCCTATATTATATCAGCTTACTAGCCCCATGTTGCATTGTTCGACGAGCCAAAGAGGTGTTTTTTGCGTTTTTGATTTGAGGGTGAGGGTGACTTAATAACTTTTTATTACGCTTGCGATAACCAAGCGTTATCAAACTAGAGTAAAAAACTTTTTTCGGGTTAACAACTACCTTAACAAAATCAGTTGACTCACTTCTCTTCTTATCTTCTCTTCTCTTGTTACCTTCTCTGAACTTGTTCGAGGTTGCTTCCCCCCGTGGCCTGGAGGTAAAGCAGTTGCCTTTGTACCCTAAGATCTGGGGTTCGAGTCGTGGCTGAATCTTGTTTTTTTTTCAGTATCAAGGAAATTGAAAAAAAAACATTCAGAGTAAAATGAATTGCTGATTTCTAAGTTGCCACAACGGATTTAGCTTGTGCTGTAGACAATTTTCCCCTTTCGTTGCAAGTTCAATTGTTGTTTATTCTAATTTCAAGAGGGACTTAAAAGATTTTAAAGAAATTTTTCGTAAAATTTTTTCTTCGGCTAACTTGTTCTGCTGAAAGATGCGTCTGCTCGAAGATGGTCGGCTTAGTTGCCCCATCAGTTATTTTTTTTTGCTGTAAGGAGCTTTCAGTGTAGCTACAAGTGCTGCACTGAAACTTTTTTATAAAATCATATTTTTTTCGGCTCAACTTGTGTCTGTTCAAGGATTGTCGTCTTTGTTTCTTTTCGTAAATTTTGTTCTGTTGTTGTTGATTTAAGTTTCAAGTGTCTGGCATGTTTGCCTGAATGAACTTCTATCGAGACATATGAAAGATCATATGACCTAGTTTTTTTCAAACTTTCATTTTCGGCTTTTTATGTTTTTATTTTTGGTTAGTGTTGTATCGCAAGTGGTGCGAAGCTCCGCTTCACCTCTGTGTTAAATAACTATTAATGAATTTGTCGTAACTTTTTTAAATTTTTTTTTCGCTTTTTTTAATTGGTTTTTTTTCTTCCTTTTTTCGGCGTATTATGTTTTGGTCTACATTATATCGGCTTGCTAACCTCATATTGCTTCATTTGAAGCGCAAATAAAGGTTTTGTGTTTGTGTGTTTTGAGGGTGAGGGGGACATAATAAATTTTTCTAAGTCTTGTTGAATTTTTTCTTAAAGGGTTTCTGCTAAGGTAGTTTTGACTTTATTGCAGCCTGGTAAATTTTTATCTGATGCTTATTTTACATGCTATTATCTTGGCAATCTTTTGTTGCAAAACTAGCCATATTCATTTTGATAGATCTAGTTTTTGACATTTTCGAATTTTTTTTTCGACTTAGCGGCTTTCTTTTTTTTTGTATCGCAAGTGGTGCGAAGCTCAGTTGCGCCTCTGTGTTTAAGACATTTCCTTTGATTTAGCGATGACACCGCGAACTATATTTATGGAAGTGGTAGCCACACCACTGGTCAAATATCATCACAAATCGCAGCTGGAGAGGACGATTTAACCGATAATACTTTTGATTTGACTTCTAACTCATCATTGGCTCCACTTAACGAATATGATCTGCAATTTCTATCAACCTCTGACTCAATAGTGCGATTAGAAGACAAGCAAATTATGAGTAAGAAGAGTGACGATAACGCTGTGTCAGAAAAGCAACTTGGTTGCAGTTTGGATGCTATCCCAGTTCTATCGTTTAATGACCTTGACCCCAATAAGCAGATTGCGGTAGCTGAAAACAATTTCGAACAAGACAATGAATTCGAAGCTGAAGAAGATGAAATTCCTTAGAATTATGCTAAATATCTTTATTAGTCAACAGAAAGAAACTATTCATTTTTTTGTTTTCGGTTGATGAATTGTTTTTGTGCATTAAGATGAAGATGAGCTGCCTCAGCTGCAGAAAAACCACATCATTATGGCTATTCAAAATTTTGAGTCCAGAAGGGTTGGATAGCAGCTGAGAAGTCAACATTTAACCTCAAAATGACCTTGTTTAGATTCATTAGTCGATTAAGTTTTTTTTTGGCAATAATTTCGCATTGACGTCTTGATGCATTGAGTATTCATTAAGGTCATGATTGCCAAGAAAATCAAAACATAGATTTACGTTAGCGAAAAAAAGGGTCTTGTAACTCGAGCCTGAATGTTAAAGTGTGTTTTTCAACTCAGGTAGTTGTATGAAATCACTTGTGAATCAGAGTGGCTTTGATAAATAGTTCATAGTTTTTAAGAGTCGATACACGTAGTTCAGACTCTTATTTAGGTCCTGATGATTTTTTTGGTTTCTTTTTTTATGGGAAGTCAAATTTCATTCAGGCTCGCATTTACTTTTTCGCGGTGTGACTTATGATTTCTTTTTAAGTTCAGTTCATCTTCTTCATTGGAAGGAAAGCAAACTCCACTATCGACCGGCGAACACCGTCTCACACAGCTTTTAAATCGTATTTTTGCCAAAGTCAAAAATTTCTTGCTGGTTATTTGAACACCGTCGTCAAATATTAAAAAATTCAATTTTTTTTGCAATTATTTTCCGTCTTACTAGGTGTCGGTTACTTAATTTTTTTTCTAATATAATCATAGATAATCTGATTCGGGAGTGGAATAAAGCATCTACTTTTCTTGTTTATCTAGTTTTTTTTGTTACAAGTTTTTCAGTTTTCTATGGAGGTAGAAAAACGAAAGCACTTTTTTTATATATTTTTTCTTACTTTCTATGGCAATTTATTAACACTAGAGTCAGCTTAGTGTATTATTAAGAACCTTCTTTTTTTTCCTAACCTATGTCGCAAGTTTTGGTGACTCTTTTTGGGCACTTTTACAGCTTTTTGATAGCATGTGCTTTGACATTCGAATAGTAATAAGTTAACACAGTTGATACATTTTTAAGTCATCAAATGAACCGGAAAAAGCTATTTGTTTCATCAAACAACATAACAATAATAAAAACTCGATTTCAGAAATTTTCTAACTCAATATATCTCGAATTTTTTTGAAATGCATAGTTTATTCATAATGTGGCTGTATGCTTTGCGATTTGTTACATGCAAATTTGGTGTGGATGCCTTCAGTTTATTATAATCCAAATTATTACTTGAAAAATTGTGTCTATTTGTATTTGGTGCAACTTTGCTGAATGGCATTGGGCATTTTTTTAAGCATATGTAGCTGCTTTAATCGTAACTAGTTTTGTCATTGGTTCAGCAAATGTGACTAAGTGGTTAGTGCGTGAGACTCAAAATCTCTTGATTGCAGTAGGTCGCAGATCGAATCCTAGACCTAGCCGAATTTTGGCTGGTTCGAGGCTTATTTCTTTTTTCCTTATTGATTTTTCTAGAGCTGCTTTTTTGTGTTCTCGCTAGTATTTGCGAAGCGAAGATTCGCCTCTGTGTCCAAGCTACACTTTGCGTTGATGTTCACATTTGTAGAGTGTAAAATATATGTCGTTAGCAATCGTCATCAAACCCGTTCACAGACTTTTCAATTAACTTGTTCATCAGAATCACTGGATCTTTGTTGCTAGAAAACTGTTTCATCAACTCAAATTTTTTTGTCAAACAACAGACATACTTTGAGCTTGTTAATTTCCCTTTTTGTTCGAATTTTGTGTTTATGTTGGTTCAAACCAATTCCGAATTTTTCTTGTTTCCTTTTTTCGCTTGATTTATTTATTTTTTTTGGCTCGACGTGCCTTTTTATTGGCTTAGTTATCAATATCTTGAATTAAGGTTTAATGCTAAATTAACCCCGACATATGTTTCCTGAAAAGTTTGTCCCAAAATGAACTTATTTTGAGACAAACTCATGAAACTTTTGGTTTTTCACGAAGTTTTTTTTCGACTAAATGTTTCTCGCTTCGTTTTCTGTCGACTTGCTTGTTATGCTATGTTTTTAATATATCGTCCGTGGTGCTATGCTGCGTTTCGCCCCTAACAAAAATTTTAAATTGCGTTGTTTTTTATACAAAAATGCTTTCATTTTCGTGGAATTGTTATGATCGACATTTTCATTAAAACAACAAAACTAGCCAACCGAAACAATTTTTTTATCGGTCTTTAGTTCATTCCGAGAAATTTTTCATTGCAGATCGCTGCTGGTTGAAGTTAGTTTTGAAGTTATGATCTTGAACTTATTCGAAAACTTGGCGCTCTGAAAAAGCGTTATCGTTTTGCCTTTCTCTTTTGATATTCTAAACACAATTTTGAACGTTAGGTTGCAATCAAAATCAGAATTATTTTCGAAATTTATGACTGTCTAATAAGTTTGTCAAAAACTATGCCACTATGAAACGCTTTTCAATTTTATGGAATTTTCTTGATTGATGTTTCAAAGTGATATAGTTTTCAACAACTTTAATTTACAGTGTCTTAAATTTCTGATAAAAATCTGACCATGACACAGTGGATAACAGTTTTTATAAAAATGAACGCGCTTTTGAGTGTTATAGATTTTAACAAATTTATTTGACAAAGTTTTAAATTTCTGGATTCATTCTCACCTTGATTGCAGCCGAATTTTCGAATTTGCTTTAAAACTATCAAAGAAGCTAGGAAAACGAGTACGCTTTCTCAAGAGCGTCACGTTTTGAATGAATTCAGGATCATGATTATTTATATATTTTTTTCAATTAGCGGCCATCTGCCATGCAATTTTCCTGAGAAAAAAATTGCCACCGAACGAAAAAAATATGTACCGTTCTCTGAAATTGGGTTATTTTTCAAAAATAACAATCATAGCGGTTCCTTGTATATTGAAAGTGTACCAGAGTGGTATAGTTTTTAAGATTGGTATAATTTTTACACAAGCATAGCTTGTGTTATAGTTTCAACTTTCTTTTTTTCCAAATCTAAGTCGCAAATATTGTTGCGATGCGATTGTTGCGACAAAATGTGTTCATTTTGAAAATGATCATTTTGATCCAGCTATTAATTACTGCGAATGCTATTAACACAGACTATTTTATCACAAATAGCACTTAAGCTTCAAAGTATCATGGTTCTGTAGCGTAGAGGTAGAGAAGGAGACCAGCAACAAAACAAGAAGGCTTGAACCTGGGCAGGGTCGGATGTTTTTAATGAACTTTTTCGTATACTAGTTAAAATGCGTCCGCTCTATAAATTGAGGCATGTTAGTTGGTAAATTTCTTTTTTTTTCAAGTTGACTGCTAATGCTTCATAATTGGCTTGCGTCAATTAGCAATTATGTAGACTCATAATTGGCGTGCGTCGTTTAAGAAATTTTGTAGACTCAAAGTCTTACTCATTCAATTTTTCCCATTAGCTTTTTTAGCATACTTTTGCTTGTGTATGCGAAGTGCAACTTGGCCTCTGTGTAAATAAATTCATGAGACAAGTTCGTTAATTTTTCGAGTTCTTCTAGTTTTAGCCTTGATTGCAATCGAGATTTCAAACTTGCTTTCAAACTATCGAAAAAGCTAGGCAAAACGTTTGCGCTTATTCAGAGCGCCAAGCTTTTCAATAATTTCAAACCTTATGTTTTATTTTAAAAAATGGCACATTGAATGCCAACAAAAAGGCAAACGCGGAAACTTCTCAGAAACATTTCAAATTAAATTTAGCTTGAGGGTCTGAGTTACTCCAAAAATGAAGACATTGTCTAATAAAGTCAATAAAAACTAGGTCAATAAATACTCATATGGCTAGAAATTTGAAAAAAGTTTATCAGTCGGAACAAATATAGCTCAACATGGATTTCAATGACATCGTTTTTTTTCACTTGCAATTAACAAGCGTTATCGAATCGGAATATAGACAAGTCGGGTTAGTAACTTGCTTAACAGAATCACTTGAGTCTTTTGGTTCATAATGAATTCAAATTTCTGTGCGTCTTCAGTGCACCAAGTCTGGAGGTAGCGATTTCACCTGGGACGGCAAAGGTCCTGGTTTCGAATCTGATTAGGACCTGCTTTTTTTCAAACGGGAAATATTCCGTTTCAAAAAAATGTCGGCTTATTATTTGTCTGCAGATTTTGTCGGCTTAGTTGCCGCATCTTGTTTTTTTTTGCTGTATGCAATTTTCTTTGTTGCTTTTATATTTCCATTTACTGCTGCAATTTGTAATTCTATTAAGCATAACTTTGTATATTTTCTTTTTTTTTGGCCTAAATGATTTCGGTTTATATTTTTTCATCGGCTTACTAACTTAATTTTCGGTCGTTCGGAGAACCATAATTTGTATGTTTTCCTCCGGATGGCACAAGACGTTGAAAATCTTAGAATAGAGTTTTTAGTTCAAAGTTTTTCATGACAACAATTTTATTTTCGCTCGATAGTTGTTTTCGAATTTTCTTTTAATGCCGTCGAATGGGTTTTTGGATGTGTTTTCGCAAAAAGAACATAATTCCTTTCAACATTTTGAAGTTTTTTAGTTGTGGTTTCTTCGAAAGATATTTTTGAACTTAGTGGCTCTGTTTTCCTTTACTGTCTGTTAGCTTGCACTGCTATTTTGTGGTATCGCTTCGCCTCTGTGTACAAATCTCAGAGCTCTGGGTATAAGAGAAACTTTTTTGGCCTGTAATCACGGAGAGACAACCTTTTGATTAGTAAATTCTGATTTATTCACATTTTCAGGCTTCGAAATGTAGGAATGGTAAAACTCTAACAATGACCTCTGAATCGGCCCGTTACAAATCTCTGCCCTTGGATCTAGATGCTTCGGGATTAGATGAGATTGCTGTAGGATGTGTCCAAGACTGCATTGTGTTCGCGTTCAAAAAGGTTCCTGCATTAACTTGTTTTGTAGTCTTCAGTTTTTAATTGTTATTGAAAGAAGTGCATTTTCTTTTATTTAAGCCGTTTGTTTCTTTTCTTTGTGGAAAAGTTGAAATATGTCCCTGTTCAATAATTTGAGCAAATTTACTTGGTTTTTTTGTAAATTCTTCTTTGATTTCGGCGATTTTTCAGCGGATTCTGCGACAAGTCTGGAATCCACAGAAAACCTAGTCCAGATCCAAATGCTAGCTCAGTTCTGCGATCTTATCGCTCGTTGAGGACTCCGCGATATATTTATGAAATAAACTTACAAAATTAATTATGCTGCAAGGTAGTTTCTAGACAAACATTTTGACTGTTTAAGACTCCACAAGCATACATACACAATTTTGAACGACTGTAAGACAGTAATGAAAATTATCGTTTGATTGATCCAACTTTTTTTTCAAATTGGGTTTGTTTTTTTTTCAGAAGGGTTAGCGGTTGAATTTTTTTGAAATTCAAAGAGCTTCAAGGTGGTATATCGAAAAATAAAAAAATTCCCTTTGCAAGTAGTTTTAATTCGATACCTAACATAGAAAGTTTCTCCATCTCTAAATTGCTTTAAGTTTCAGAAATACCAATGGATTAATCTCAATATGGTGAATTGATCAGTAAAGATGACAATGAAAAAAAACTTAGAAGTTTCTGCCTTTTTTTCAGCTACAGGAAAGGTGTATTGGAAATCCAACGCAGCCTATTGCTCTTGGAGAGCCATCTGCCGGACAGTTCATTGAAAGCATTGATCTGTTGCTTAGTCACAAGTAAGCTAAATCCATATATTGCAGAACCTCGTAGCTACTTATTACGCAAAGCGTTTTTTCTCAAAAATTAACATCGAATGAAATGTTTCCTAAAACATTAAACACCGTTAGATAATTTTTTTCTAAACTGCTGTAGGTTGAAGAATAAAAAGAACAGTTTCTGGAATTTGGCGAAAGAAATCTCATTCAACGACGCAATTAATTCTGTTTCAAAATCAGCGTCGAGTGAGGAAAAAGGTTTGTTGATAAAGTAGAGCTTCTGCTTTATTGCTATTTTCTGAAATGTTTTTTTTTTCAGGATTTTTAGTTTTGCAAGTCGCATAACAAGTAATACGTTTCAGCAAGAGCGTGGTTACATCAAGCAATTCAGGATCAGTTGTTGCACTGCTACTTGAGTCAGTTGAGCAATGATAGGAAGTTACTAGATAAGTTCTACAGAAAGGGTGCTGCCGCTTTCGACCAAGACCTCATGTTTTCAATCAGCAACCTGCTGCTCGGTCTTGAGTCGATCAAGTTTGACCTCACATCAGTACGTCCAGCTCATTTTATTATCGGCGGTCTTCGGACAAAGACCTTAAAATGTTTAAAATTGATTACATGGAAAACAATAGCAGATCCAGTAAGGGGGGACGCCCCCCCCCCCCCCCTCAGGGATTCGAACCCCTGCCAACCCAAAGGGTCCCCCTTTGTACTATTTTGAGATATCCGTTTTTGGCTGACTGGCCTTAAAACTTTTCTAAAGACGCCTTTGGCGCCAGTCTATACTAATTTTGAGGGGGTAGCGTGCGCCGAAAAAACGCGATTTCCAAAATGTGCCTAAAAACGCCGTTTTCAAAAATTTGCCTGTGGCGCAGAAAATTGGGACAAATTTAGGTCTTTATAGTGGTTTGAGAGAGCTCAGAGAATCTATTTGGTCGATCTTAAAAAAAGGTCGACAAAATTTTCAATTTGTTTTTGAAAATCAGCTCCCCCCTCGAGAAATTCCTAGATATGCGCCTGAGCAGATCTCCTATTTGCTGACATTGAAACTTAATTTTTCTAGCGAGCACTTGCGTTTGAAAGTTAGTTTTAATTAATTTTATTTCTTTTGATCGCAATTTGATAGAAACTATAGCTGCTTTATTGGTGGCTAGTGTTAAAAAAATTGCAATCGGTCGTGGAGCAGATGTTGAGAACGTGAAACTGAAACTCCTAGTCTCAACAAAAGTTTTTTCAAGGTGTATTTTCAATCTTTTCCTTTCCTTATTTCACTTTGTTTTGCTTGTTTAGAGCTCTTTCTTTGGCATTTTCCTCGCTTGTGTGGAATATTAAGTTCCAAACTTCCAAGAACTTGTTTTTCGTAAACGTTTTTTTCGTAGGTTTTTTGGTCTTTGAATTTTCAACCTAGTCAGAAGAAAACAATGAATAGAGCCTTATCTTACACCTATCCAAACACTAATTTATCTGATTGCAAAATTGGAAAAACCACCGACTTGGTTCGAGATGGTGTATGAATTATTTATGGATCGTACCTTCTGAATTTATTCGAATTTTTACAGGCGCAATTTATCCAATCGCTGTTCTTAACTGGTGTTTATTTTTGTATCACAAGAAAGGTCGGATGTTCGAGGCCCACCATGACCCGTGCTCGTTGCCAAAAAAATGCATGTAGTTCTTAAGCAGGGACACAACAGCGGTTCTTCGTGATGAGCTATACAGCTCTTGTGTTGGTCCTTTTCCTCGTGGATAAATGGTAGATCGGCTTTGCCTCTGTGCTGAAAGTTAAATGTTTTTCTGTTCCTTGAGCTCGACAACATTTATCCAAATGCCTTTCAGCTATGCTTGAAGCATATTCAACTGTATGTCCTAAAATGATAGTTCGTAAATTTCTAAAAGTTGTTTTATATTCGCTCTTTTTTGGTTGGAATGCCGAGTAAATTTGTTGATATAGGACAATGACGCTCGTTCGAAGCAGCGGTCGTCAAAGAATCGAAAATTGGATGACTTCAGTGAATCAATTGTTGGAAGTGTTAGGATGCACATCCCTAGTCTATTGAGTACCAGGGATATTAAACAGTCCAACAGTAGTTTACACAGTGGTGACAGTTTTGACGACAGGTAAGTAGAAACCCGCAAACTGTTTCTAGGCGGCATCAATTTGCTTTATATTATGTCTGAGATGACAATGCTCAAATATAACCTACAGAAAGTTGAAAATGTGCAAAGATATAAGATAAAAACCGAAAAGAAAGGATCGATTTTGGTTGTTGATATTTACTTGGAAAATCAATCGGGTCGTATTTTGTCTGTTTTTTAGTTTCAGTTAACTGACATTTTTCAGTTCTGTCGGCTTTTTGAGAGTTTCAAAATGCAGAATTTGATAACCAATTGTGACCGTTATGTTCTGTTCTTTTTAACCATCAATTACGTATGTTCGATTTGTGCTTTAGTGACTAGAAATTTGTGTTTGATTGTGTCTTAGTTTTTAATCGGAACAAACAGTGGTAAGGAACAATGTATTCGGATGTTATATATATTTTTCAGATCCACACAAAAATCGTCAGATAGGGTCGAGTGATACACATTATAATAGTCGCGATTTGATTTTATTATTAAAAATGCAAGCTTCCAGTTTTTTGGACGAGAAAAACTGTTTTAAAAGTTTTATTTTTCTTGTCGAATTTAAATTGAGTAAAGCCGGCTAACAATTGAACTAGGATACACTTAGCTTTCAATTGTACAAACACTTGTTTTTGAAGTTTTGTTTAGCGCTCTTCTGCCTCCTAAAATTCAAAAGTTCTCGAACAAAATAAATCTGAAACAAACAAGGATAGCCGGTTGCTGTGCAAGTAGCACAGAATGTTCCGACCATATTCATAAAAACTAGCAATAAAAGTTCTTCAAATTATCAAGTTCTTCAAATTAGTTTCGTTTTATGTGCGTGGTTTGATAAGAAAACTATACACAAGCGTAAAAATTTAGTAAATTAGGCATATTCGTCATTAGTTGTCTTCAAAAAAGAATAACAAACAAAAAATTGAAAAAACAAACTGTTTTTGCCAAAGTGCCAAATATAGTTTTCAAAAATAGTTCCATTTGGAAAAGTTTTCTTAGCCTTTTTTCGATCGAATTTAGACGAAAAACTAAAATTTCAAACCGGGTTTTCTCGGCTGAGTTTCTTGGAACATTTTTAATGTCGTTGGAATCGAGACTGAAAGGGCTTAAATATGATGTATTACTTAACCTAGTCCGAAGATTATTTGTGGGACCTGATTTTGCGTGGAAAACAAAAAGAGAAAGAACAAGTAGCGCATAATGTTCCGACCATATTCTTTAGAAAACTACGGTTTAGAAAGTTTCTTTTTCCAAATTCGTATTTTTTTTCTGCTTGGTGTGATAAAAGAATCGGACGTGAAAACATAATTTAGGCATATCAGACAATCATTTTAATATAGGCAAATTGGACAAAATTTTTCGTTGAAAAATGACTAGAGAAACTTTTAAAAAAATTTAAAAAAAATTTTAAGGTCTTAATTTTTGCATAATTCTGCTTGCCAGTCTCTGCTCGCTTACTTTATTCGCTCGAATTAAGACATAAATTTTCCAGAAAATTTTTCAGAAATATTTGAATAATGATTGAATCACGACTAAAAGGGCATTTATATGATATATCACTCAACCCAGTGTGATCATTTTTTGTAGTACCTGATTGTGCGTGGAAAACAAAAAGCAAAAAAAAAACTAAAACAGACTCGAATACAAAAGTTCTTCTCCATTTTCAATGGTCGGAATAAAATTTCTACAATAACTGTAGTCGACTATATTCATTATCTATACTATATTTACATGCGAGTGACAGCTATCTCCCATGTTTAAGCATAACAATTTTGCATGTTTAACGAAAGAATTTTTTCATGTTTGAGCTATATCATATATTGCAATGCTTAAGAAAATTTTTCAATTAATTTTTCGCAAGGTCATTAATCTTTCATTTTTTTTTCGAGGCCAAATTAAGTCTGTCTGTATACCTGCTTTTTAAATTAATTTTATTGTATGTCTACCCGTCGCCTAATTTTTTAATTTTCATCTTTTATCTATCTGTTTTTTATTATATACAGTGCTGATTTAAATTATCCGGACAAAACGAACAAAACTTGAACTTTCAAACGCATTTTTCTCAAATTGGGTTAAGATTAGACAAAAAATGAAGAGAACAAAAGTTGCTTAGAATTTCACCAGAATTAATATGGTGCCATTTTTTCTCCGAAATTCTCAACAAAAATTTTACCCCAAAAATGGGTCATTCTGGCTTTTTTCAATTAATCAAGAATTACACTGAAACTACTTTGTTAATTGATGATAAAAATCTATCGCAAGAAGCCTCCTACATAGCCCAACAAAGTTTAAGAAGGGTTAAATCTCCAAAAATTTGCGCAAGTTGTTTAAAATTTGTTTTTAAACAGAGATTCTGGGTTTTATATAGTAAAAATCACATTTATTGACTATCAGGTATAAACTTTTTCTCTTATACTGGTTTTTGGAGATTTAACCCTTCTTAAACCTTGTTGGGCTATGTAGGAGGCTTCTTCTGATGTATTTTTTTCATCAATTACCAAAGTAGTTTCAGTGTAATTCTTGATTAATTGAAAAAAGCCAGAATGACCCATTTTTGGGGTAAAATTTTTGTTGAGAATTTCGGAGAAAAAATGGCACCATAGTAATTCTGGTGAAATTCTAAGCAACTTTTGTTCTCTTCACTTTTTGTCTAATGTTAATCCAATTTGAGAAAAACGCGTTTGAAAATTCAAGTTTTGTCCGGATAATTTAAATCAGCACTGTATTTAAATGCGGGCTTCACTATCTCGCCTTTTAAGCTTTTTCAACACATTATTTTTGCATGTTTAACAAAAGAATTTTTTCACGCTTAAGCTATATTGTATATTGCAATGGCTTATTTTTTTCGATTTTCCAGTTTAAATTCCGTGTTTATTTGACCAAGTTTGAAATGAGCAGCCCAAAAGTAGGATATTGTCACAGTTTTCCCAGGTTTTGCGATTCTGGCCTCCATATATGAATAACCAAATCCTTTTAGTTTACGAGAGAGGCAATTTTCGAGATGTTTCAAAAGCTTCTAGAAATTCAATTTTAAAAAATTTCTCACCCTGTAGTTGGGTACTGTCAGGGTACTCTCAGGGGTTGCAAAGCTTGCCTCCAATTCTCACTTCTCAAATCTTTGTAGTTTTCGAGATATGACGTTTTTTATGATTTTTTCAAAAAATTTTCAGAAACTTAGATTTTAAAAAATTCCAAAATGTTGAAGATCTCAATCCTGTTGATGGATTTTGTGAGGGTACTCTCAGGGGTTTATAATCTTGCCTTTGATTATGGCTGCTGAAATCCTTGTAGTTTTCGAGATATGACGTTTTTTTTGGATTTTTTCAAAATTTTTCAGAAAACTTAGACATAAAAAATTTCACAAATCTTGAAATTTTCATCTGTGTAGTGAGGCTTTGTCAGGGAACTCTCAGGAGTTAAGAATTTCGCCGCCAAATATGACTGCTCAAATCCGTGAAATTTTCGAGTTATGACGTTTTTTACGATTTTCTCAGAAATTTTCTAAAAAACTTAAATGTTAAAAATTCCAAAACTTTGAAGATATCAATCCTGTTATTGGAATCTGTGAGGGTAATCTTAGGGGCATGCGAATCTTGCCTCTGAATGTGGTTGTTTAAATTTTTTTAGTTTTCGAGATATGACGTTTTTTAGGATTTTTTAAGTATAAAAAATGTCGCAGAAATTCTCATCTCTGTAGTGAGGCTCTGTCAGGGTACTCTCAGGAGTTGCGAATTTTGCCTCCCAATAGGACTGCGAATTTTGCTTCCAATTAGGACTGCGAATTTTGCCTCCAAATAGGACTGCTCAAAATGTGGAAGTTTTCCAGATATGACGTTTTTTGTGATTTTTTCAAAAAAATTTTCATGAACATTAAATTTTTTGTTTGAAAATTTGAAATTCCTAACGTGTGGTTGGGGAGCTGTCAGAGTAATCTCAGGGGTTGCCAATTCGGCCTCCAATTAAGAATGCCCAAATCATTTTTGTTGAAGAGATGCGACGACTTTTGTGATTTTTCGGAAATTTTCAGAAAATTCAAATTACAAAATAGTTCAAAGGTTGGGAATATTGCCATAAAAAAAATTGCTCAAATTTTAGTAGTTTTCGAGATGTAAATTTTTTCTGGCTTTCAAAAAAACTTCTTGTAGAAAACTTAAGGTGAAGTTTCTCAAAATTTGAATTTCCCAACGTTGTAGTTGGGTACTGTAAGAGTGCTCTCAGGAGTTGCAAATCTTGCGTCCAAATGCGACTGCTCAATTGCTTTCAGTTTCCCAGATGTGACGTTTCTTAATTCATTATATACTTAAATATAAAAAATGTCACGAGTTTTTATGGTTTTTTCAAAATTTGAATTAAAAAATCGAATGAAAAATTTTACAAAATTTGAAGTTACTCTCATGAGTTGCAAATCTTGAGCCAATATGCGACTGCTCAATTGCTTTCAGTCTCCCGGATGTGAAGTTTCTTAGTTCCTTTTAAATTTTTCAAATAACTTCTATAAAACTTCACAAAATTGTATGGTTCTTCAAAATTTGTATAAAAAACTTGAATAAAAAATTTTGCAAAGTTTTTAATTAAGAATCCTGTAATTGGGTGCTGTCAGAGTACACTCAAAGAATAGTTTTTTCGAGTTGTTGAAAATTCGAAGCACCGGAGGTGCGTTACACGCTAGTTATAAATTAAATTTAAGTTTTTCCCATCTAACATCGAGTTAAAAACGACACAAATACAAAAATACTGTGGTCGGAAGTTTGTGCTGTTTATTTTCTTACTTATACGAACTCTCAAAAATTCTTATTATTTTTAAAGTTCTTTTTGTCGTGATTCAAAGTCGAGAAAAATTTTCGTTAGACGAATTTAGTGAAGAGTCACTATTGATATTGCCAAAAACGGCAAAAAAAATCCTTTTTTCTTCAATATTTTATGGTAAAAATTAAATGTTGTCGGAACCTGTATTAATTGCCCAACAACCGGATTTTTTGTCATTATTTTTGGTAGTATGTATTCAAATGACGATGAAAGTGTTCATTCTGCGGGCAAAGAGGGTAACTCGAAACAGCGTCAAAAGAGCAAAAGGAGATACAAGAGAGACAAAAGTGGTTTTGATACGACTGCCTACAGTGCAAGTAGTGCGAGTTCCAAAAAGGGTGACAAAGGAGGTGTGAGCATGCAGAGGTCTGTGAAGCAGGATGAGAAACCAGATGAAGCTGCCTCCGGTCTTTTTTCTGATGCGACTGTAGCAAGTGGGGATCTACTGAATCTGATGGCCAGAAAGTTGAAGGATGTGTCACAAGACCAGAGAGGTGTCGTGAAGGTACTGGAAAGGAACTCTACACTAAGGAGCGATGGAACAGGTTCTGCAGTTTTGCCATTATCAACAAGCTCAACTGCTCTAAGTTCGATAAGCGCTTCCACGGCTGGAAAGGTCCGAGAGACAGAGAAAAGCATAGAGCTTAAAACATCTGAAAATGTCTTCCGTGGAAGCACTCTGACTGAGAATTGGGAGCGGAAATCGTCTTTTGAAGCTGCCAATCAGAGTAGAGGCTCAGAAGAGAATGTGCGTGTTATACAAATTGAACTGCCTCTCGAATCAAGCACGGAGGAGTCCGGAGAGGCTGCGCGCTCTTCGGAGCAATCAGCAGACGAGAAAACGAAATCTTCAGGTTTCAAATCATCAGGCGAAGGGCCTGTATCGCGAATGGGCGTAGAAACTGAAGGAAGAATCAAACTAGATGGCGTCCCGTCCATTCAACTCCAAGATGAAGCAAACGAAAACGGTTTTGCCACCATATCTGTTCAAAATGGATCCTTGGAACAGCCAGTTGACGGAATAAGCAAAATGTTTGTGAGTAGCCTCTTCTTTGATTCAGACGATGTAAATGAAAATGGCGCTGAGAAAGAAAACTACCAGTTCAATCAGACGGCAGAAATGAGCTTCGTCAAAGTGGAAAAACGTCCTAAAATGTCACTGTCCAGTTGGCTTACATCAAGTAATGACAATGAACATCCAATGATGGGATCTAATGTAGAGTTTTCGCAAGTTAACGAAGTAAACCCGAATGAAGCCTGCTACTTCAATGGGAATGAAGTGGACGAATCAATTGACGAGGCACTGCTGCTCGGAACAGCGCCCAAAAAGGAAAATTTATTTGCCACTCCGTTTTCGATGGCAGCCTCCCCGTCAGAGAGTAAACTGGAACAGGCTCTGTCTCCTACTTTGTACCTGGAGCAGAACCCCCATCTCAATGTTCACCCCTCCGATTTACACATGGACCACAGAAAGCGTCTCAATTTTGACTACAGAATTTACCAGTTTAATCAAGACAATGGCGAAGAGCCTATTAATGTTAGTTTGTCAATTTGTTTTATCTCATTGAAAACTTGCCATTCTTATCTGAGAAAGCAATATAACGGCTATTTTTTCTCTTTTCCTTAGCTCTTCAGAGGTTTCTATCGCCATATGGAATTGCCCAGTTCCTGGACTAAAAACTCCTATCATGCCAGAGTCATCGATTTACTTATCACTAACCGGGCTGTGTACCTTCTTAAATTTGGTAAGTATTTTCAAACGTTTCGATTTTTTTGTTATTGTCAGTTTCGAGAGACAATGGTTTCTCGGATGATATGATATGCAATTGTATCTGTTTTAGACGAGGAGAAAAATCACTGTCTTCATTATTTCTTTCCGCTAGATGAAATATTGCTAATAACTGTGAGTGTAAATTTAGTTTGTTCACAATTATGAAAGATATTATTAAACTGTGAGGAGACGATTTTTTTTCTGTCAACTTTCATGAAGTTTTGGTGTTCATTAAGATTTAAACGACGCGAAGTGGTTTATTTTGTCACCATCCTTTTGCATCGCGGAGAGAAGATGTGACAATATTTTCACCAAGTTTCGTGTCATCATCCAAACTTACGAAGTGTTTTAATCGAAGTGTGCGGTTACTTTAAATGGTTTGAAAAAGTTATCATTTGTAGTTTGTAAACTTATTTTTCCTCTGCGAAATAGCGTTTGCTATCAAATAGCGGTTTGAGCTCGTACAGATAATTAGAATATAATGTCTGTTGGTCCTTTTTCAGTTTTTCGTTTTGCCATCGTAATTGTTTCTCTTGGTTTCTGTCGTCTCTGTCCCGTCTCTTCGGAATTGTTTTAGTTAGTTTTTCATTTGTATACGTATACCGGTTGTGGAGGGTAAGTTGTTTCTCGCGTTATAATTCTGATAGATTTATCGCGTCTTTTTCGAGTATTGTCATTTGCACAATCGATTGGCATTTCGTCCAATCCAAAGGTGGTCCATGCGTTGCGTTCGACCAGGAAGGCCGTATGTATGTATAGTAGGGTTCTGTTCTGTTATGCTAACTGCGCCATTTCATAAGGCTAATTGGTACGCAGGCAGTAAGTAGTTTTAGCATTACTGAAGGACTTCATCCATCGTTGTGAACATTCAAGGTTAGCTATCAATTAGCTTGTGTTATAGTATGAACTATCTGTTTTTCCAGTCTAAGTCGTAAATCTTGTTGCGATGCAATTGTTGCGACAAAATGTGTTCATTTTGATCCATCTATTAAGTACAGCCAATGCTAAGGATATCAACACAAACTATTATATTACAAATAGCACTGTAGCTTCAAGGTGTCATGGTTCTGTAGCGTAGAGGTAGAGAAGGAGACCAGCAACAAAAAAAGAGGGTTTGAACCTGGGCAGGGTCGGATGTTTTTAATGAACTTTTTCGTATACTAGTTAAAATGCGTCCGCTCTATAAATTGAGGCATGTTAGTTGGTAAATTTCCTTTTTTTCAAGTTGACTGGTATTGCTAATGCTTCATAATTGGCTTGCGTCAATTAGCAATTATGTAGACTCATAATTGGCGTGCTTCACTTAAGAAATTATGTAGACTCAAAGTTTTACTCATTTAATTTTTCCCAGTAGCGTTATCGGTCATATTTTTGCTTGTGTATGCGAAGTGCAACTTCGCCTCTGTGTAAATTAGTACAACCTGCTAGATTACGTAAGGACTCTGCATCCGCTTTCTGGTATCTTTTTCAACGGTTCATGTAAGTTTCAATTCCGCTAATGAGTACTATAATACATCAAGACGATATGTTTTTTACTCAAAGTAAGATATTTTATCCACGATGAAAAGGACCAGCATACGAGCTGTTCGGCACATCACAGAGAAGCGCTGTTGTTCTTGTTGTTTTTTGTGCTGACGGGGATGGGTAAACCCCAGTACTCCTCAAAAAATATACGATGGCGGTTGTATCTGTCGTCAGACAGAACCGCTGTTGTGCATCAGCTTCAGAACTGCACACAATTTTTTGATTATTTTTCTGAGCTCGGTAATGTTGCCTCACCTGGAAGCAACGAGCAGGGATCATGGTGTACCTCGAACAACCGACCTTTCGATTGAGAGGCGGAGTCGTAACCATTTCACCACCACTCTTCTTATGAGTATGATACAAGGCATCAATTGTACAGCGAGTATCGGCCTGAAACTGAGAGTTTCATAATTGCTCTTTTTTCTAATTTCTGATTTTTTCACTCTCAACAGCGAAAAACTAAAAAGATTTTTTCCCGAAGATAAATGGTTATCTGCATGGCTATTATCAGCTTACTTGATTTTGCTCTATTTGTTATGCTTCGGAGTTCAAACTCATTGGTACCATGTCGTTTTTCAACTCCGAGGCGAATTGGAGCGTTGTGATATAGGGCAAGCGTATTATAGAAAGATAAAGAAAGAACGGATTTAATTCTTCAGACATACAAATACATTACCAAAAAAATCAAACAAATTTAGCAATTAAATTTTGGTAAACGTACGTATTATCTGAAGAGGATAGACTAAGGGCAAATTAGATGCCCACATATTGTCTACCCAGTATTTTCTGACTGAGACATAGAACGTTAATGTGTAAATAAAGATAGTCATTTAAGCAGCAAGTATTTTTGTAAGTATTTAGAAATTTTCATATTCTTACAAAAAGGGCGTTTTCTCGAAAAACCAGCAATTTCTGAAAGATCATATTTTTGGGGTAGATTCAGAGCCTCAGATGGGTCTCTGGTATCATCAAGACCAAGCAACAATTTTTGAAATGGAAAATCAGATCGACTAAATACGCTATTTATAACTCATTATTACCTAGGATGTAATGTTCTCTAAATTTGAAAACAAAAAGAATTTCATCATTTTCTGTCATTTTGCCTATGTTAATAGGCAGAAGCTTATTTCCGTTAACCATATTAAGCATTTTAAGCAACCTTCAACCCCTATTAGTTAAGGAGTACAACTTAGCTTTATTTTTACAAAAAGGAGGATTATTGGTTAATATACCCGAATTCCTTGTTTTATCAGCGAATGTTTTAAATGAATTCATTCGGGTTTTTTCTATTTAAAGATCTCTGACAAAACTTCAGTAATCATAAACATAAAGCTCATTAACAGGTAAAATTTTATTATCATAGAAACTTTTGGTTATAGTGTCGAATATTCTTTTAAAGAATATTCGGATTATTTTCCGCTGATAAATTAGAACTTGATTCAAAATTGAAAAACTAGTACCACCGTACACAAGCAAGACATATTGTTTTATGGGCTTTGTGTTAGCGTTATAGTGTTTTTGTAAAAATAATCTCGGAACATAATGCCCCTTTTTTGAAACAACACCGCGATGCGTCCCTAATTTCGTTTTTAATTTTTGGATAGGATGAATAAATGTAACCTTATAAACAAGTATTACGCCTAAGTACTTACACGAAGGCATGGGACTATAAACAATATCATCAATACAATTATGAAATTTAGAAGCATTTCTGCTTTTTCAAAACTGATTAATGTTGTTTTGTCTGAATTAATGGTTAATTTATTTGATTTCATCCACGCCGAAATTTTTGTTAGATCATGCTGGAAGAATTCAAAACCTGCGCTCTCGCATGCTACATTCGTATCATCCGCAAACAGAAAAACGCGTGAACTCGATGCAGCGTGATGCATATCTCTTATTTTAACTAAAAATAGAAGAGGACCTTAGCCAGAACCATGCGGAATGCCCGTAACCAATCCGACGAGCAGCTGTTGGCATGAACTTTTTGAAATCTTTGATAAATATCTATTAAACCAAGAAAAACAGTTACCTCGGACACCTTAATTTTTCAGTTTATTCAACAGAATTTTGATATCAAGAGTATCAAATGCTTTTCTCAAAACAAAGAAACTGCTTTTGATATTTTGTCTTTACCCATTCATTGTCGTTAGTCGCTAAGGCATCGATAAATGCAAATTTTTTCCGAAAAGCAAATTGATGCTCATAATTGATTTTGAATTTCTCAAGGTATTTGTACAACCTAGAGTGCATGATTTTTTCAATTATTTTGTCACAGCTACTCAAAAGATCTATGGGACGATAGTTGTTAAGATCTTACTTACTATCAGATTTATATACTGGCAAAGTTTTAGCATATTTAAGCGCCTTAGGAAATATACCTCGCTAAGCGATAGGTTGATTAGATATGTTACATTTGGAGCAAGGTCAAAACAGCTCTTAATCAGTAACATATTACTTATTTCATCAATGCCGCAAGAATAATTTGGTTTGAGACTATTTATGGCATTTAAGGTCTCAGTGAATAAGCAATTGAAAAGGTGCATTCATTGACCAACACTTGTAGTTTGAACGATAGCATCGGCCCCTTCCATTTTGCTAGCAAGTTTTGATCCGATTGAAGCGAAGTGTTCCTTGAAAGCAGTCGATAACATTTGGATCAGAAATACTACTTTTTAGCAGAATTTTTAACACTGCCTTTCTGGTTACCTGTTATTTCATTTAAAAACTTAGTAGCATGGTAATTTTGCGAATTGAAATTGAGACGGTAATGTCTGAGCCGAAAATAACTTTTATGTAAACTGTGAAGTTTGAGCCAAACACAAAACGCCAGTTTCAAACTTTTTTCATTTTCAAACTTTAAAAAACGCCAGTTTCAATTTGTTTATGAAAACAATTTTTTCATGAACTTTTTACAATACAACTTACCTGAATTTTTTTCTTTCCTTAAACGACACAAACTAAGCTGACTAATCTGATACAACATTAGCCAAAACTAGTCGGAGATTTTTGAGATTTTAATGCGGAAATGGCGCGAGAGAACATGAAAGACTTCTAGTGTCGAAAGTAGAATTTAATTTTCAGATTTCCCAACAGAATAAACAAATTAAACCATTGATCCAGTTTTTTCAGTTTGGGTTGATTTTATCAAAAACTTATCAATCATTAATTGTTATTGAAATTCAAGAGGGCTTTTAGTTAGTTTTTTTTTCTTTCAAAAGTAAGTCAGAATTTTGTTTCTGTATGCTTGCGTTCAACGACTCTTTTCAAACTCTGTTCGATATGTTTAATAAAATTGTTGCTTCCGCTTACAACATCTTTAGTGAGCTTTTTTGTCTCATTTTTATCGTTTGGCAATTATTTCAGACATATCCATTTGACCAAGGTCTTAAAATATTCTCTCGTCGATCACATGAGGTGGACTGGACTCGACTCAATGCAAATGAGAGCAAGAGAAATGCTGAGTTCTGGTTTGAAACAGGCGACCCACAGTTAACTCAGTGAGTACAAACTCATATTGATACAAGGCTGTTTGTGTCAGGATTAAACTCTGAATGTTCCGACTGCCCCTTCTTAACGTCTATAAAACTTTAATTTAAACCACCCCGCCCCCCAACCGCACACTCGCGCGCTAAGTACAAAGTGATGCTTTTAGCTTGTAGTGACCTATAATGAAGACAGGTGAGCCTGCCTCAATTCAGTTTTGAACGATTTCTGAGCGGGATTTAATTGTCGAAGGTTGCGTGTTCATAGCACAAAAAGCACGCGTTAATTGTCCCAAAAAATGTTCACAGGTGAAACATCGCTTTAAATTTGAGCTCAGAACGTCAATTCAGTTGATATAATAATTCTGTTCAAAAGTGGCAGGTGAAAGAGTCAAAACTGGTCTTCAGAAAAAAATCGCCCCGCATTATTATTGCGTCTCTTTCATCGAAAGTCGGAACCCGCTTGGAGCTTATCAAAGTAAAAGTAACAAGGTTTGTGTGCACTTTTTCCTACGCCAAACCAGGCGCCATTTGGAACAGCCCCATGCAGCCGAGTGAGATATCGTTTTATCACCCTTTGAAATATAGCTGCTTCTTGCTTCTATTGCTCTGAGAACTGTTGCTTCTATTGATTATTTTAAGCCTCTACCTGAAATGTATTTTGTAGTAAGAGGGCTTCCAAATTTGTTTCCAATGCTTGGAAACTGCTTAGACTGACGGACTGGTGTCAAATGTCAGTCTACGAGTTCCCAATCTTATGTTGGCGCTATTACAAATGAATGAATCCGGTCGTTTGAATGTTTGTTCAGCGTTTGCCGATTATCTCACTTTCTTGGACAATTTAGGATAATAGCTGACAAGTTGAGCCAAGCTATCACTCAGTTTGCTGAGACACGTGATATCAGAAGCGCTGAAAGTTCACGGCAGCCAACTTCTTTTCATTTTGGAGGCGAGCCGATCATTGAACTGGCCCAGCTGAAGAACTTTATGGCTTTCACTTTCAACTATGAGCAGAAAACAACCAAAGAAGAGGTGAAGCTGTTCTCTCTGGTTTTCATGGGAGAAAGTCCGCCTCTGGAAACTAATGAAGAGGATGAGAGCGAAGCCAGCAAACTAGGCTTCTACAGTCTCTCAGAGTCTCAGCGGTCTTCCCATTCCACTGGGGGAGAAGGGCGCTCGGAAACCGTTACTTCATCCGTCTCCTGCATATCAGACGACACCTCTGCCCGCTTGAGTCGCCCGAGTGCTGTGGCCATTGACGGTATTCTCTTTCTGAAGGAGGAGGCCTCCGCCGTCAGTGCAATGGGGGGCATCATCAGCAAGCGGAGTGGTCTCTTGCCCAGTAAAAACAACGTCTTCTGGAAAGACTACCAGTTCACCATCAAGTATTTTATGAGATATGCGAAATTATAAAATTGAATTTTATGCGTAATGAGCGCTGTTATTTCTTTTTCAGAAATGGTAATCTTTACAAGGCCGAATACTCTAACGGAGGAAAAGTCTCGCAGCCAGAATTCATGCTCTCGTGAGAAAATTTTGATACAATCTAAAACGGTTATAATTATTCAGTGGAAAATCTGGAATATGATACTTTTTGAGTGCGCATGTTTTATAATTGTTTTGATTTTGTTTTCAGGTGTCAATGAAGACGCTTATGTAGGTCGTCGTGAATATTTTTTCCGGGAAAAGTCAATAGTTGTTCTCACTTAAATTTGATTTTTTCAAGTTCAACTCAAATTCATGTGCTTAAAGAAAGGCACAAGTCGACAATATCTTTTCGGCGTTCTTAGCAGAATAAAAGATGCCGATTCGTCCAGTTTTTTTCCAACCGAGTTAGTTTAACTTAAAATGCCTCAATCATAATTCAAACTTATTAATTGCATTACTTCAAACTTATTTTCATCATTAATTAACAGTCAATGAACGTAGTGAAGGCTTTTATAAAAGGTATTGATTATGTTTTTTTTTCGAAGTTTGTTCTTGCAACAACAATAATAAAGACTCGATTTCAGAAATTTTCTAACTCAATGTATCTCGAAAGTTTTTGATATGCATAATTTATACATAAAATGGCTTTATGCTTTCCAGTTTATTCCATGCAAAATTAGTGTGGATGCCTCCACTTTGTTATATTGCAAACTATTATTTGCAAAATTGGGTCTATCTGTATTTGGTGCCACTTTTGCTGCATAGCTTGGCAATTTGTTAGCGTATGTAGCTGCTTTATTTTTGACTAGTGTTTGGCGCTTGATAAGCGTTCGTGGCCTAGAGGATAGGGCGTGAGACTCCAATTTGCGAGGTCACAGGTTCAAGCCCATACGCAGCAAAGTTTTTTTAATTAGAGGTTTCTTTCTATCTTTTATTTCACTTTATAAAGCTCCTTTTTTCGTGTTCTTGCTAGTGTTTGCGAAGCGCAGCTTTGCCTCTGTAAAATGAAGGCAACTTCTAATATCGAACGGCAAAAGGTCACGAAAAACGTGATCTACTTCTGGCTTCGAACCTGAATTTAACTTTCCAGATTTCCCTGCGGAATAAAAATTTCACATATTAATCTAGTTTTCTCACATAGGTTTAACTTTATCATAAAAAGTGTCAATTAAAAATTGTTCTTGAAATTCAAAGAGCTTGAAAGAATTTTTTCTTTGCTAGCTGTATGTTGGCTATAATTGAATTGAAAAACTTAGAAAAAAATCTTATAGTAAAATTAATACATGCTAGCAGTTATGAATATTTAAATCAAATTCCAGATTGAGGTAATTTTCAATCGACGAACTAGCTTCAATTTTTAGCCTGTCGGATTGCCTCGCCTGTAAATTGTACAAAGACAGCGAGAAGTTGAACACCTTTCTTCTGACAACATCTAAAAGTGCTATTGGTTTTTCGAGGATCCTTGCTGCTAGAGTCAAAGCGGCGCCCATTCTGACTTACTGCTTTGCGGCACGCAATGAAAGGGACGCCTCAGAATGGATACATACTATCCGAAAATTCATTCCCGTTAGTTTTTTTTTTATCACGTGTAGTCTTGTTGATTATTGAGCGCCCTCGATAATTTTTCTTCTCAAATAATTAAACTAAGGAATCTATGTTGATAAAAGCAGGTAAAACTATCAAAATTATCTGATTTGAATTACCTGAACTTGACTCATTGGCATTAGAGGTGTGCGATGCATTGAATATACCGATGAAATGAGTTAAAAATGCAATGAATCCGGATATAACTACTGTTATACCATGCCGTTAACCTCGTTACCAGTGCGTGACAAGGTTTGTCACCAATGAATGTCAGGGTGCTTCTTTTTCTCCGAAAACTCCAAAAAAATTCCCGAAAAACGAGATTTTTTTAGTGTTATCAATGAAAAAGAAGCATCCTGATTTTCGTTCATTTGATTTGTTTAAATGTCAATTAATGACGTGAAGACACTGATATAGGTCGTTATGATTTTTTTCAGGAAATTCTCAAAAATTGATCTCTCCAAATTTGTGGAACCTGATCTAAACTATATTTTATGATTGGATAAATTAAATGTTTTACCAATGTAAAGTATTTAATATTAACCAATCATGATCCATCTAACTAACAACCCACTTATTTGTAAGTGCTGAAGTTACTTGTAATTTCAGCACCAGAGAGATTTGAATTTAACTTAGAAATTAGTTGGACTCTCCCGAGCACTTCAGCAGCCGCAATAAACCAGTATACCCTAGATCTATTGAGCCTAGCAGAGACTAGTTAAACAACCTGAGACTAGATAGTATAAGAGTAAGATTAGGATCGGTATTAGACTAAGAAGTTGCACGAATCTATCCGGCCGAAAATAAGATAGCGTGACGAGCAGACGGTGTACCCTATCCGAAATTACTCTATGAGTTACACTTCGGTTCTAACTCATCTGGTGCGACCATAAGTCTCGAACAAGACCTTACTAGATTAGAATTAACCAAAAATAGATTAGAAATTAGACAAAAACATTTACAAAATGTTATACGACAATAATTTAATTGAAATGTCTCTCCGACTCAATAGATCAGAGCCAATATTCCGAACCATAATAGAACTACCCGGAATTGGAAGAAGACCTCGAACCAAAGACGACATACGACAAAGTAGAAACTTGCCGTATAGTTATATGATAGTTCGGCAAAAGCCAGAACAAACTTTTATATTTCGAATACTACTTGCAATGAATTTAGATTTCCATTTGCAAACATAAAACCTTGAAGTTACTCTTCAAAATCATTTAAGGCGCTAAACAAAATTAATATTATACAATAACGATTGATAAAAAGATCTAAGATCGTTTTCCTAAAACTCTGCAGTAATATACAAAACATGTTTGAAAAATATTTATTGGAAAATAAAAATAAAAATTAGTAGCATGACAATAAATGGTTAGTAATCATAAATCATCCTGTTGTTCCAGCTTCATCATCTAAAACATAACAGCAATCATCAACTCACTAATATCATCAAAACACTAAATCTTTCCTTTACACACATTTAAAACTTTATTAAAACTTAAATTCACTTAATTTTAAAACCAGATCATCAAGGCTTATCCTTGGATCTTAAATCATTTTCTACTTAATTAAATTTTAAATTTGATCATCAAGGCTTATCCTTGGATCAAACAGAACAACTTTGTTCTCCCCCACCCACTTAATTAGTGTCTAACGACCTCAAACGTCGATTCACTACCCAACCCTTTCTAAAGACCCAAGACTAATAGAAATTTTTAAACAAAACTAATCATTCAAATTAGGATAAACAGTGAAGAACTTCGGTTATTCATCCTTCACTTGACCCCCCCCTCTTACCAGACCCAGGATAAATCTTAGACTTAGTAAGTTTAAAATAGTATCTAACGAACTACTCGCGTTCTAATTATACCTGAACCTTGTGGATCGATTTACTATTCTCCAACCCTTGAACACAATCACTACCCCTAAGTAAGATTAAGTAAGTTAACACCTTAACTTATACTAGTCACGAGAAAGTAAAAATCATTCTTCGGAATCGATATACTTTTCTCTCCAACCCTGAACAAATAGACCCAGGTTAAGCTAACCAAAAAATCGTAAGAACTAACAGTTTAGGAAAATAGAAATCATTTAACAACCTTTTGCATCCGTCATCCTAAACCTTATGTCATTTAAAAACCTAGGAAATAAACAAACAATCATTTTACACAATTGTGAAATAGATAACAAAAAATACGACCTTGTAATCACACCTCATACACAAACAGTTGGATACATTCGAACAAAACGACAAACACTAAAAAGAAAAATAATAACTAAACAAAGACAAATAACACGAAAAAGATTTTCAAAAAACCGAAACGCATTTTCAGAATCAGAAACCAACAGTTTAGACGAACTTTACAAACTAAAAGAATCAATAGATAAAACTTACCCACTTCACGATCAATTATATTTTTCTGACTCAGAAACAACTTCAAATTCATCACAAAGAGGAAAAAGAAGAATAAAAAAGCAGTACAAACACAAACCAGTACATCTATACAATTGGAATCAACCAATTCGACACATTAATAATTACATATTAACAGTCATCGAACGAAAAAATGAGCTCAACGCACACTCCAGGTGACGAAACTCCAGATGATGATGAAATCTTTCCTTTTATAGTAGACGCAGATACTGATAGAGGACAACACATATTTTGTCAAAATTTACTCGTAAATTTATTTGAACCCGGAATCAGTCCATGTAAAACAGAGTTCCCCGATGTAAAAATCAAAAGACAAATCATAGATCACTACTTAAAAGATATATGCAACATAACACAACAGTATGGAATCTACTCTATAGAATTCACCTCACCAAACCATAATAATAGAACATATACTATACAAACAGACGATCTTGATTTAGAATTTTCAAAAGTTTTTTCAGAATATATAAAAAGCATCCAATACCAAAACTCACAAAGAGCAAACTCCATTTTCACCAATGAAGTTTTCGCAATAATATATAGTTATATTTCGATATTAGAAAACGAAATCCCATTAACAAATGTCTCACCGACAGAAACATCTAAACATTTAAGAGTACGACATGAAATCACACTACTCTCTAGTTATTTAAACATCATTAAAGAAAATTTCACGAAAGACGACGTTTCACAACATACCAAACACGATTTACAAAAAATTTTGGCATGGTTCATAATAGATTATTTCACACACAATATTGATTTAATTGCACAAGCAAGAAAAAATTTTAGACCCCAAAATTCGAACGATGATACCGCTATCACAGAACAATCAGATTATGTTTGGGACCCCGAATGGTCTCATCCCGCATTTATAAGCTTTCCACAATCAATCTCAAGTCAAGCAATAGGTACAATATCTTACATAAGAGATTACGTAAGAGTAATACCATTAACAATTGATGCAACACCATTAAACTATAATACATTTTTACCCGATACACAAAATAATAGTTTAAACTCTACAGTCATACACAACGAAAACCTCAATGGAACTAGGAATCTTACTCAACAAGATATCCAGACACCATCACACTTCATAAATGAAGAAATTGTACACACAACAACTACACAACAAAGTATTTCACCAATACGCCCAAATTTAACAACACCAAGAAATACAAATCCTTCACAAACACAGGTAACCTTACAATCAACCGTTAAACCTTCGGTTGCTCCAAAATATTCCCATATGGATTACCAAACATACAGACCCATGACAATACCATCAAAAACACGCAAAACATTCACTAAAAACAACTTTGCAGACCATAATTATAATTATACACATCCGTCAAAAACAAATTATCAACCACAAAGGAATTTTAATCAATATACAAAATCTCGAAATTGGGATAACCCAATGACCCAACCTAATTCAATAAATTTCCAAACAAATCCTCCACAGGATCGCAGTGAAAATTACCCATTTTTTCAACAGAATAAAAATAAAAAACAAACATCTTATCAAATGGATTATTTATCCTCAGATGACGATTTCTTACAACCAGATATATTTGCACCAAATACTCAAGAATATCGTAGACAAGGAATACAGAGAACACGTACAAATCATAGAAATTTTTCTCCACAACCAATAGATGCACAAAATCAACAACCAATTCAACAACAAAATCTAATTAATACACAATCTTTTCAACCAATTCAACAACAAAATCCAATGACTGCACACTCGTATCAAGCATCACAAATGCAAAATGAAATACCACTCCCATATTATCTCCAACAACATGAAATAACAAGAAACCAACTTTCAAATTTTTCTCAAATGCCAAATGCAGCAGAATCATTACAAATGACAATGAATCCATACCTTATGGGTGGATCATCAATAACATCAAACAAACCTTTAATGGTTTTCACAGGAACAGACCCTGAATATTCTGTAGAAGATTATTTAAATGCAGTAACAGCAAACCTGATTTTAAATATTGGACCTGAACCAATTAATACGCCACTACATCAAAATTGGATACATCGACGCACAGCGTTAATACAAACAACCTTAGATGGCGCAGCCCAAAAATGGTTTTCAGTACTACCTCTAGAAATAAAATCAAACTGGAAAAGATTTACACAAGAATTTTCAAAAATGTTTGACTCCGAAAGAAACAAACAACAACAAAGAGTTTTATGTAATGAAATTCGCAGATTACCAAACGAAACCATCAAGCAAATAGCAGTACGAATCGAAACACTAGTTCGAAAAGCATACTCACTAAATACACATGACTATAAAAACACAAAGATGACAGAAATCTTAATGATGACCTTAACACCACAATTAAGGAAAATAGCAATAAAAAAGAGAGCATCCCATCCTTCTTCAATTCGAGAACCCGATTTAGATTTTCGAAAACTAGTAGACAAATTAGAACAAGCAGAAATCACGATGAAACTAGAAGAAACGGAAAATCTGAAATTACAATACGTTAACAAAATTGAAACGACTCCCACT